CCATACTCGCTTTGACGGCGGTCCCTACAACATGGAGGCTCTGAGGGCCAAGACCAAGATCCGCAAAGTCCTGATCAGAGACATGCTGTTTGCGGACGATGCTGCTGTCACTGCCCACAAGGAAGAACATCTTCAGCATCTCATGGATCGTTTCTCGAGGGCGTGCAGCGACTTTCAGCTGACCATCAGTCTCAAGAAGACCAACATCTTGAGTCAGGACACGGAGAGCCAACCCACCATCTCCATTAACAACTACCAGCTGGATGTGGTCAAGGAATTTACTTACCTTGGCTCCACGGTGACAGACTCGCTTGACCTGGACCCTGAACTGAACAGAAGGATTGGCCGAGCCACCACAACTCTTGCCCGGCTCAAGAAACGCGTGTGGGAGAACAGCAAGTTGACGACCAACACCAGGATGGCAGTCTACAGGGCCTGTGTTCTCAGCACCCTACTGTATGGCAGCGAGTCCTGGACCCTGTATGCACGCCAAGAAAAGAGGCTCAACACCTTCCACATGCGAAACCTCAGGCGAATCCTTGGTATCAAGTGGTCCGACTACATCACCAACAAAGACGTCTTGGAACGTGCCAACATCCCCAGCATGTACACCCTCCTCCGTCCGCGTCGCCTTCGGTGGCTCGGCCACGTCCACAAGATGGAGGATGGCAGGATCCCCAAAGATCTGCTCTATGGAGAACTCGCAGTTGGAAAGAGAACACAGGGCCGCCCACAGCTTCGTTTCAAAGACGTTTGCAAGAGGGACTTGAAGGCTGTTGAGATAGATGTGAAGGGATGGGAGTCACCGGCCCAGAACCGCCCAAACTGGAAACAAGAACTGGCAAGTGGTCTGTGCCGAGGGGAGGAGAAGATGAGAGCATCGGCAGAAGACAAGAGAGCCAGGAGAAAGAACAGCCAGGACAAACAAGCGCCTCCCTCCAACTGTGTGTTCAGGTGCATCCACTGCAACAGGGACTGTCACTCCCGGATCGGCCTCTTTAGCCATACCAGACGGTGCTCCCAGTCAGGCACAAACAGATAATCACACTGTGATTGAAATGCCAATGACATGGTCTTTAAAAACCTCAATGTTGACAGCGAAAAAGAAAAATATTAAGGTTTGTTGCTGAGTGTTATCTAGCTTCACTCACACTGTATCAAATTCAAATGAAACAAATGTGGATTGCACGACAGCGTACATTCAAGTTTAGAGAAAGTCCCACCAGATTGTTGTGACCGCAGGAGGTCCCCAAATTAAATTGTTATATTTATAAACAATGCCCCTTATAAATGTTGAGTTTTTCCATTACCACATTCATAATCAAATATATCGAGTAAAAAAGACTGTCGTTATATTGTGTCTTATTGAAAAATGTGGTCTGGAGAGACGCTTAAATAACAAAACAAGAATTCCATTTATGCAAAGTGAAATAAATGCCCAAAAGTGCAATTTTTGTGAAATTAAAAGTAATTATGGTGTCGGCGGTAACACATTTCAAACGCAGAAGTTGTATTATACTTACCCAGTAATGGAGTAATATAACACGTTCATCATTATCTTTTTGGAATATTAGGCGTAGAAAAAAAAAGTAGTGTGTTTCCGGTAACCCGACCGACCGAGAATTTCTACGTCGAAAAAAAACTTTACGGTCAGCATTTTTTTCAAACAACCCTCTACATTTTTGTGTAGAGGGTTTACATCGGTGCAAACTCTCGCGATATTCACGTTGAGCCCGTGCATCGTTTGCCCTGTTGTCTGTCAACAACATTGAATCATGGCGGCGGCCGCGATCTCCGATGACAGTTTAAACCGCGTTTTCTGTGTTACAGTCGCATGCTCGCACCGTAATGTTAAGAAAATAGCATCCATTGATATATCGAAAAAATTCAGCGAACTATTTGATGAACACCACGTGCCGAGTAAAAACCGAGGGCGGAGGAGGGCAGAGGAGGACAGTGGAGGCGGCGGTGCGCCCTGGCCCCCCCGAGTCCGGAGCGGGGAGAAAACTAAACAGATGGCGGCGGCGGGGCCGTTGTGGGCGTCGCTGGGGTAGGAGATGGTGTCGGGCGCGGGGTCGGTCG